AACGACAACAACGACAACAACCACAAGGCAGCGGAGCCCTCTTTCCTAGCCTTCATTGCCCTGTACGTTGCAGGATGAAGGTTTCAGAGTTTCCGGTTCACGGTGTAGGATGCCCGACCCAATGACAAGCAGCACTTCAACTTGCAGGAAGGTTGAGGCTCGGCGATTGCCCTTCTGCCAGGTGGAATGCCCGCTCTGCCGCACTCGCTGTCCCATAGCGGAGGCCTGTGTGGTGGCTTTTGCGCTTGGAGTGTGGAAGGTGAGCATCAGAAGCTGGATTTGTGCTTTACGACAGTCCCGTGCTTTAACGTTAACATCCGTTTGAGTCACAACTCCGCCGAGTGTGTGGAAACACCTGGTTGAAGACCAAATTCCGAGGATCACATGGCCTTCGGGTTGGTTTCTGGCCCCCCATGTTTTCAAACAACGCGGGCTGGGTGCTGCTAGAGGTCTTCGGAGGATGTTCATCTGTGTAAGTAATTGAGGCCGAATAAGGCCTACGAAACCTCAAAGCCTAGCCCTCAGACCCTGAAACATAAACTCTGAATCTCTTTCTGAAGTCGTACACACCTCAACCCGATCCCCCAAACTCCTAAACCCCATAAGTTCTGTAGACACCAAGCGGCTTGGCCGGGCAGGTTAGTACCAACTTCGCATTGTGCTCGGTGGCTGCGTCGCTGGCCTCTCTGACAGAAGTATATGCAGGTCTGCACATGCTTCAAACAGTCGCTACAAGGTTTCATGATGAGGGTTTTCAAGTATGGCGATTCTGAAAATAGGGACGGAGCTTGGGAGTCCATCAATTCAAAATCAGGAGCCTGCTTCTTACTTAGGCTAAACGTCCGGGATCCCCCCTTTCCTGAAACTTCCATACGGTATGGGCCATACCTGACTGATGCGTAGGTCTCATTTCACAGGTGCAAAAAAACGATCCTATCATGAGTTTCAATCATCCGTGATCTTTCTTATTATAGTCCCTCTACGCTCTACAACGGGCTTTGACGGTGTAGACAATAATTAACTAAAAGAAAACTCCTACAGGCATGCTAAAGCCCTTTTGAGGACCTATTAAATAAACTCTGTGTATCTCCTGTTGTATACGCATACAACTTCATATAACATATGTATATATATATAT